AGCTGACACTTGCCTGCATGCTAATCAAACATGCCTAAAGTTACCCGAAATCACGGCGCCAAATGTCCGGTAGGGATCAATCAGACTCCACCGCGTCAATCAATCAGCAGATGATTGATGCGAATTGTTGACGCAGAGACTCAAAGCCGAAGACCCTCGAAATGTAAGTCTATGGAGGACTTTGGCTCCAAGCAACAAAGTGGCAAGTCCACGTAGACTATAATCATGTCATTGGTTTTCACGTCTTTGTTGATGAGTACTGCAGTTGCGAGCCAGCCGAGCAGGTGCACAGCTATCCCAGTTGCATCACTTTCCTCTCATGTATGCTGCATCTTGCAAAATCCCAACTTCTGCCCGCTTCCCCTCCCAAACTTCACTTCATTGGAATCTGAGAAGGCACTTCTTGGATTCGAGCACTCTGTAAAGCTTCTACGTCAGTCATACTTCCCTTAGATTTTCACTCTGCACTCGTTCACGCAGAGATCAAGTGCTTTCGCGTTGGAGTCGTAGCTTGGTTCAAGAAGGACCGCAAGCTGCAACTACCTCCCTGCTCGACGTGCTGCCTTGCACAATGCCGACACTCTCCTACCTACTCGTGCCAGCGAGCAGTCACACGATCACCACTATTTCCGAGCTCTATTTTTTCGAATTCCGCAACTTTCAGAGAGCTTCGCTCGCAAATTTGGATAGGCGAAATCAGAATTGCAGACGGTGACGGTATGTGAAATGTTTGCGTGACTGGTCTGTAACGCTGCCGAACAAATTTGCACGGTACAGAAGACTCTGCAAGAGGAACGGGTGTAGAAGCTATGCGATGCGAGTAAGAGAGACGCTGTAAAGATTGACGCGAGAAACGGGTGTTCTTCCGTTCCCAGATTCGTCGCACAGCATTTGGTAGTTGAGAGGGAGAGGGTCAAACTTGCTGTTGTGGACGTACATACCGGTCAGCTCGAGCTGACCGTTCTCATTGTTGGCAGCAAAGTACTTTTCCGTAGCCGCGATCTGCTGATTCAGACCCATCGCCTTGAAGAAGCAGCCGGGATTGGTAAGGCCG